TATTTTTTAGAACTTTATTATAATAAATATTTCGCGAATCATTACTTGGGATACTCTGAGAATTTGTGAGAAATTACTATTATTAACTAATTTTATTTACATTTTATGGTTACATTAGACAGATACCCCATCGCTTATAATAAACGCTGATATGTTTATATATAAGCTTGTATGTTTATATATAAATTTAATTAATTTAATTAAATTTTATATAATAAGGTAGATTTTTCTTTTTTTTAGTTTAGTATTATTTTACTCAAAGTTTATAGTCTTTTATGACTTTATTCAATAACAGTTAACAATAAGAATTTTTACTATAAAAATTTAAAAATAACGAAATGGAATGTGCGGGATTTTGTAGACCTTACCTCATTAACTAAGGGTTAAATTAACAACAAAAAATATAATTTTTATTCAAATTAAATCATTTTATTAAATCGTATTATCAGAAAATATATTATATTACTGTGTTAATTACAACATATAAAGACAAAATGTAAGACGTTTATATCGATCGATGAAGTGGTGTTGTGTCTAAAGCAACACATTCATAATCGAGAGGTGCCTCGCGGATCCAAGTTCCGAATCCCATCAGTGCCAGTGAGAATTTTTAAATGTGATGTAACATTGGAATCAAGTAATCTAAAATTTTCAAGTGAAATCAGAAAACGACGTGACATTTACGAATAGTTTCTGTTAGAAAATTGAACCGAATAAGGACACTAAAAACAATGTCCAGTGTAGATCCTTTTTTGAATATTCCAAGGACGTCCAAAATAAGTAAAAACAGATATCCTATGAACGTCCACCGGACATCTGTTGGGCTTTATTCGGACGTCTTATAGACGTCCCAATATCCAAACTTGAATGTCCATTAGACGTCCGTAAAACGATGTCTGGGGAGCGTCATCCAAAGTGGCTAATAAGTAAGTTGTAATATTTTTGTTAGATATTTTCAATGTATGATAATTTAATGAAATACTTTTTTATGTGCAGAGTTTTAATATTAAACTAATTCAAGCTAATTATAAGATGAATATTCTTACTTAATTATTGAGGTTAATTTTTTATATATCACTATGCACACAAATTAGCGATTTTTTATTTTGATATATTTTGAATTGAATCTCAATGTCTTTTCTATACATTTAGGACTTTAATAACATAACTTACTTTGACATACCAACTTGTATTATATAAGGTGGGGCAAAATTATGGGAACAGTCGAATATCTCGAAAAAAAGCATTTTTTAGGAAAATGTTTCAGACAAAAGTTATAGGGTTCAGAAAGGTTCAGAAGATCTCTATTTAATGGCTGTATGAGTTTTGACCTTGGATGGCGCTGCCAAGCTTAGGTCGAGGTCAACTTTACTTTTTTTAAATAGAAACATATATTTTTTTAACGCAATTTTATTCTATGTAAAAAAACAAACAACTTTTGTTTGAAAAAATTTTGTATACCACCTCTATTTTCTAAGATATTTACAGAAATATCTATAAAATTATTGGTTTCAATAATTTTTTACTCGAATTCTATCAACTTTACCGAAAAATAGCAAGAGATAAAAATTGTTTATTTTCTTTTTTCAGAATTTTATATAAAATTTTTAGTACTTCAAGAAAATGCAAAAAATGCAGTACTAAAAAGTTAATTAGAAAATTCTGAAAAAATTTTCAGAGCTCTATAAGAAAAAAATAGATAATTTTTATCTCTTGTTATTTTTCGGTAAAGTTGGTAGAATTCGAGTAAAAAATTATTGAAACCAGTAATTTTGTAGATATTTCCGTAAATATCTTAGAAAATAGAGATCGTATGAAAAAGTATTTCAAACAAAAGTTGTTTGCTTCTTTACGCAAAATAACATTCCGTAATAAAAAAATACATGTTTCTATTTAAAAAAGCAAAGTTGTCCTTGATCTGATCTTAGCGGCGCCACCTAAGGTCAAAACTGATACAGCCGTTAAATAGACCTTCTGAAATCTTATAACTTTTGTCTGAAACATTTTCCTAAAAAATGCTTTTTTTCGAAATATTCGACTGTTTCCACAATTTCAGCCCATCCTGTATAAATCAACTTTAACTAATTTATTAACTGATATCAGATTTTAAATAGTCTATTATTTCTTTATCAACCAATATGTGTTTTATTACTCACCATTAGGTTCAGATATAGGTAAAGTTTTTTATTTATTAAATTTTATTTTTATATTTCAACGTTTTTCGACCTAAATTCACATTTTTTTTTACCTCCGAATCGCTTCGTACGTCTCACTATCGGTAGATAGATTTTATTGCACGGGTCAGTTGTGAGTCGCAGAAGTGTGAAACATCAATGTATATACAACTATGAGTCACTCATACATGTTCAGAAACTGATTTTGTTATCGACACGAAAACACCGAATAAAGTACAAACAAGTTCGCGCAGTCTCCGTAAACATCGATTAATCTTCGCTGTCCTTATTTTTGTTTATTACATTAGCGAACGGCACGTGTCGTGTGCACTGCGAGTTCACAGTCGCTCCTTTATTTCACATTCGAGCCACGCCCGCGTGTGTTTCCACTGCAAAAATGCAACGCTATGTCGCGAATATTCCGAAATATTTCAGCAGCAAATTTTTTAATGAATCGGGAAAAAACTTTTAACAGAATACCTCATTACGAAGAAACTCAATTCTGAACGCAAGAGATCTCGTGAAAGTGAACTTTAAAACTGCAAATAAATAGCGCGAGTTTGTGTCTCTCAGTTATACGTAGAGAGACTTACAATGGAAATGCAATCTGAGAGTTAATTATCTAGATACTTAACATGGAAAATTACGAAGTTAATTTTCGCAGAGGAAGGATCACTTGAAAACTGGTTAAGGAAACTATAGTTAAGAGAAGACACCGGCAGATCTAGGACATTTTGTATATGTCTCAAGAAACTTGGCATTTATCTGCCGAGAAAGCGAGAATATACAGGGTGTCCTCAACATTTATACACCACATTCCCTTCTATTTATTCTTCAACTAATCGTGAGCGGAACAGTCCATATTTGTTTAACAAAAATCGTATTGTACAATAGGTCGCAAAACGGTTTAGACACAATGAACTTCAGAGAGTAGTCAATAAGAGAACGAAATAAATTTTCTCATTGGATCATCGGTCTAGAATTTATTGTGTTTAAACTGTTTTGCGATCCACTAAAACAATTAAGACACAATGAAGTTGGGAGTTCAAACTGTCAAAATTAAGCATCATTACTGACGGGCTTGCCCAATAAATACTTTATTAATTATTAGCAGGGTTGGGTAGTAACTAGTTAAAAAGTTAAAAGTTAAGTTCAAAAGTTAAAAAGTTAAATGGCTTTAACTTAACTTAGTTACATTTTTACACTTTTAACTTTTAACTTAACTTAATTACATTTTATCGGTAACTATTAACTTTTAATTCAATTAACTTGAAGTTAATCATGCAATAAAGGTGTCGCGAGACGTCGAAAAGCAGTGCAGGAAAATTCATTTTTGACAATTTTCGAGGAAAAATGTCCAATAAAAAGGACCCCGCATTAATCATATGAAAAAAGTGCTTTCAGTCGAATTGACTAAAACTATGATATCTTGTAGCTTATGAGGTGCTGAAATCTTAGAAATCTTCAACAAAAAGGATAAAAAAATGGACAGTTTTTTTTCTAGCATCATTAGAAAGTTGCTATTTTAGGTCTAACCGAACCTTTATCTATAGTACACAGATTATTTTTTTAACTGTATAGGCATTTATGCATAACTATACGTGTATCCATTATTGAATAGATTCATGTCTCAGTGTATGTATGTGGTGCGGAAGGGGGAGGATGTAATATAGGTGTGTATTGGTATGTGTATATTTGTATCGATAGTTATTGTAATAGTATGTCTGACATTATTACGTTCAAAAAATGTTTGTGTGTGTGTGTGTGTGGTTAGGGTTAGGTTAGGTTACACACACACGCATACACAATTCGACTAAAATCACTTTTTTCATATGATTAGTGCGGAGTCCTTTCGAAAAAACTTTATTATTTAAATTTAATAAGTATCTGTAAATAAAGCATGTTTCCAAATAAGATGTATATTTGTTTTTTCCGTTTTTATTTGTAAAACTGAAACCCTGAAGTCATGAAATGAAACAAATTTAACTTTTAACTTCTTAATTACTTTTTTTTTTATTAACTTAACTTTTAATTCAATCAATTTCATTATAGGTTAACTTTATCTTAACTAAGTTAAATTTTCAAAGCCATTAACTTTAACTTAACTTAGTTAAAAAAAAGTTAACTTACCCAACCCTGATTATTAGTAATTATTATTATTATTTATTAGTATTTAGTGTTTCTAGCTGTTATTAATTATATTATTATTACGTAAATTTATCGATAATAATTTTCAATTTTAACAGTTTAGTGAGCTTTCAACTTCATTCTAAATAATTTTGCAATCCACTATATACTCGGTTCCTAACAGCACACTTTTTATTAAATGAAGTTGCAACGCTTCAAGCTGTCGTGATTGAAAATCACTGCTGACGTATATATGCACTAATCGGTTATGATAGGAGATGATAGTACAGAGTGTGACATCTATAAAATTTGGAAGAAAGAATTCATATTAAATTGGTATTATTTTGTAATTTTTACAAAATAACAATTAGTAATAATAATAATAATAATAGTAATAATAATAGTAAGAAGTAATTTTTACACATTTATAACCGATTACTGCGTATACATATCAGCAGTGGCTTTCAGTTCTAACAATTTAAAGCGTTCCAATTTCACTCGATAAAAAATATACAAACCGTTTAGTAACCGGTTAAAATTTACAAACTATCGATATTTGGAAGTCTGTTTTTCATAAAAAAATCGATTCGCTCAAGAGCTCACAGAGCCGAAGGCCCCTGTGAATGGCGATAGAGACACCCCGTATATCTTCAACTGTCGATCGTTGTAGTTGTTTCATGGCCAGGTGGGGAAACGTACCTTCAAACAACTCTCGATAAACTCCTCGATCGTGATAACACCGTCCTGGTTGAGATCGAGTTTCTTGAAGACCCTGTCCAGCTGTTCCCTCGCCTTCCTCTCCTCCTCAGCCTGATGCCGCCTACCCATGAGCTCGTGAACCGCCGTCACTACTTCGCCCAACTCGCTCCTGGTGATGCAGCCATCGCCATTTATATCGTACAGCTTGAAGGTCCATCTCAATTTCTCGTAAATGCTGCCCCGCAGCAGAGTCGACAGTGTCACGAGAAGGTCCTGCAATCCCCAGAATTGTTTGGAGTCGTTTCGCCGCTGCGTGGCATAATTCAACGAGCGGCAGGACGAAACGACGAGATTCCTCATTCCGATCGAATTAGAGGTTCGTTTGTCGCGAGAGGATTTGCCGACTTAACGATAATCCACGATCGCGCATATGACAGAATGTGTTTTGCGAGGACACGAAGCAATGATTGTGCACGCAGAAAATTTTTATTGTATAATATAACATATATTTTTGTGATAATGACAAAAAGATCATTTTGCATGTGTGTTGAAATCGATTAATGCAGAAATTTCTATGTTAAATTTTTAATATACTAATGTGTTAATTTAAGATATTGTCGTTGCTATCTTAACTATTCTTGAGTTTATATTCACCATTTCTAAATGTTAAAATGACATAATTTATATGTAATATGTATATTTTTAGTGACATATTTTATGTGTAAAGTGAACAGATAAATTGTTATTCGTTAACATATTTATCTTGTGTTAAATTGACACAAAAATTAGAATGAATACATTGGGACGTATGCGAAATATGTTAAAAACACGAAATATTTTGCAGAGTATTAATAGTATATAATTTACAAGACTTATAATACAAGACAATAGTATACAGGGTGTTCGGAAAGTACCGGGACGCCCGAATATCAGGAAAAATATAAGTTTTACAAAAAAATGTTTCAGACAAAAGTTGTGGCGTTTAAAAAGATGTATTTACTGATCACATCAGTTTGACCTTGGGTTGCGTAGCGAAGGTCAGGTCAAGGTCACATTAATTTTTTTAAATGGAA